CATCAATAGATTTAACCAATACATTTATAACACGACCCAAAAAGGCCTCATTTACTGATATCTGAGCAATTCATCATGTTGTTTGATATCAATTCTGAATTTAATCTCTCCATAATTAGATAGATTTTTTTGGTTTTTAAAATCTCTCACTTAATTATTATTTTTCCTTCGTACCAAATAATCTTCTATCCTGAAATCTTTTTACTAATCATCTCATCCTCTCTCCTCGCTTTTACTTTTTCCTCCTCCCAAATAAGTTCTAAAGTTAATATTTTTAACCTTCTCTCTCTTAACTAAGAGAGTTGGATTGGACAAGAAATGGCTTTTGATGAAACGAACTCTCCGCTTGCAACCAGAACTAAGAAGGCAAAAGAAATGATTTGTTTTTTTCCTTTTAATTAGAACGTGCAGTTGTTTTTAAAAGTGGTCCAATTAGTAATTAATTAATACGATGGAAAGTCTGCAAAGTGCAAACAATGGTGTTTAAAGTAAATCAAAGTGCAAATAGGTTCAACAGTTTAAAAAGAAAATCTATTTGCCTAATAAAGAATATGATTAATTATCAAAATGCTCTCAAATTATGATCTTTATAACACCTTTAACTCCCGACCTTCAAAACCTTCAAAACGCAACATATGTGCTCCTCGAAGAATATTGGAACATTAACAAATTAAAATGCTTCTTCATTAGAATTTTAGACGGAAATACTTGGGTGATACAAGTAGTTGTGGTTTATAATCAATATATAAATTAAACTTGTAAGGAATTCGTAAAAGAATTATTATTTATGGCCCGTTTAGTTCGCTGATTCGAGTTGAAATGTGATTTTATGTGAGAGCTTTTTACTGTAGTAAAAAAGTTAGACGTGATTATTTCTGAAAATTTTATACTGTAACAAAACTTGAATTCTAAACTCGAATCGGTGAAATGAATGGGGCTATTGCTTAAAACATATTTTGTGTTTTCTATAAATGCATTATCATCGGTTGCTCTATTTGGCTTATTGGTCGGTATATTTCTTTATCTATATTTATTTTTTCAGCTTGACCTGTAATTACAGCTAAATGAGGGAAGGTCTCTTTATAACCTTTAGACAGAAAGAGTGGTTGTACATTTTTATTTATTTTATCGATTGTAATTTCTAAATTTTCTCTTGTTCCTTGGCAAATTAAGCATCACTAGATTAGTTTATTTTGTTACTTTAGTTGCCCCTTGTCCATGTTTTAACTTTTAATTGGCTTTTGGCGGGCCACAAAGACCCTTTGTGAATGGGAATTGAAAATTTTATTTCACTTGAGCAAAGTCTACAATGTCAACATTGTATTTCTAACGAGCATTAGTTAAAAAAGTGAATTTTATGATGCTTTTTTAATGTCGTCAAAGATATCATGATGATGTCAAAGCATATAATGGTTTTTTAAACGTGGTAAAATTTACACACAGAACATCACGGGATTCTTTGTGATCACTTTTGATGATAGTTTTAGCAAAATGCAACTCGTTCGGTTCGCTAATTCAAATTTTTAATTTGAATTGAGATGTGATATTATGTGAGAATTTTTTACTGTAGTAAAAAGTTAGATGTGACTGTTTATGAGAACCTTTTACTGTAGCAAACTCTAATTCTAAATTCGAATCAGCGAAAAGAATGAGGCGTTTAACATCAATTTTTTCTCGTAAAAATTGTGAATGTGTCATTTTAACTAAGTTTTCTCCAAAAATTGCATAATGTCTTAAAAAATAATAAAATATCGTTTTAACCAATATATATTGGCTAACATAACTTTTGTTTTTCTAATTACCTTTTTATAAATTATTAACAATCATGAAACTATCATATACGTTCATCAACTTCTCCAAATAAAAGAAAAAAAAAAAGGAATCCCCATAATTAAATTCATAAACAAAGTTTTTCAACAAAATAAAACTACAACAACAAAACAAAAATATAACCCAAATCCACATACAAGCAAAACCTTAAAAACATAGAACAAAAAAAAAAAAAAAAAACAATACAAGAAATTTCAAATACAAAATTTAGATTGCAATGATCATGACGGCGCTAGGAAACGTGGTGGCAGAGGTCCTGGTGGTGACAATAGTAAAGCCAAGAGAGAGAGGTGGCAATTTGTGTATGTATTGTGTTTCTGTCGTATTTTGATCCTTTCTTTTTAAATTTATAGTCAACCCGAATACGATCTGTGACACGAAATTTTTTAAAAACCGCAACACGAACACGACATGACCACTTTACGGGTTGATATAATACGAAAATGACCCGTAACGCGAAAATGACCCGTGAACACGAAATTGACACGAAAATTATATACTTTTATTTAGTTTTTTATATATTAGAAATAACTTAAAATTCATAACACACTAAAATACAATAACATCCATTGAAATTAAGCAAATAATAATATAAGATTTTGAGTATAACTATCATGATATCACGAATATAACTATCATGATATCACAAGTTCATAATAAAATCAAAAATATGTAATGAAAAATATATGTATTTTAGTCTTTTATGAGTTTTGTGTCGTGTTCGGGTTAGACGGGTCGAACCCGAAATTGACCATGTTTTTCATGTCAATTTCAGGTCTTCTGACCTGAATCTTTTTTTCTCAATCCTAATCCGTGAAATTTATGTTGTTTTCGAGTCGTGTTGTCGTGTCGTGACTCATATTGTCAACCCTAAGAGAGGGTGTCATGGACAATGGCAGGTTTAGGGGGTGAGAGTGAATTTAGAGAGGGAATTAGAGTGAGAGGGGGATGGAAGAAAGAAAGAGATAATTTAGGGGATTTTTTTTTTTTTTTTGTTTGGAAAGTGTTGAAGAAGAAATGCTTTAAAAAAAATGAGAGAGAGAGAGATGGAGAAGATTTGAAATTTGTAAGCGAGAGAAATAGAATAACGGGCAGAAAAAATATTACCCTTTTTATTTTTATTTTCCATATGACTACGGTTTTTTTTAATGTGTCACTTTTTAATGATAATTAGATAAAAAAAATTATAATTTAAGAAGTGTGTACGGATTTTCGTAACACAAATTCTGTGAGCCGTGTTGTTTTGTGCACATTAATGACATTTTTAGAAAAACGTCTTCTGATCTACTACACAGATTTAGAGGAGTCGTTGAAACAAAACTTGATTGGAGTGATTGTATATCTCGTTTATTTTATCGATTCGAGTTTTTAATTCTAATTTTACTACAGTTAAAAGCTCTCATAAAAAGTCACATCTAACTTTTCTACTACAGTAAAAATCTCTCATATAAAATCACATTTCAACTCGAATTCACGAACTGAACGACGCCGTAGATTCACTTATCATTATTTGCAAATTTGACCCAAACTTTTAATTGTGATATTTATGACCCTAAATTTAATAATTCTCGGTAATAAAGTCCCAATCGATGGCAATTGGGGTCCACAATGTCAATATTTAAAAAGTTTACAGTCTAACTTGACAATAAACAAAAAGTCGTGTTTGTGCAAAAATATTAGGTAATTTGCTTCTATTAATTGACGTATGTTAGCTATAAGAGCATAATTGAAATAGATTTTTGAATTTAAAATCTTATTTGTTACGATTAAAAATTCATGATCTAGTTTACTAAACACGATACATTTAAGATGTACTTTGATTAGGAAAAAAACACATCTAAGATGTACTAGGGCAATAACCCTTTTAGTTACTCAATACATGCATATTCATAAATAAATAAATAAATAAATAAAAAAATATATATATATCCATTCTACGAACTCATTGTTTCATACGGTGACAACATATCCATTTTCTTTGATTTTTCTTTTTTATTCCCATAAAAAATATCTATTTATTTATCCTGTTTAATATTCTGACGTGGTAAGCATAAAATTTGGCCACTCACGATACTCCCTTCCCCAGTAGGCCACGGCCACCACTACTCTCTTCATATATACTATTAACAAAAAAATATAAATAAATAAATTATTAAATTATTAAATTATTATTTGACGCCCACAAAATATCCCGTAATATATAATCATAAATAGATCACTGATCAAGGCTTTGTCTATTTATCTTGCCAATTTATATTACCGTATAACATACATACCTCAATTGTAAAAAATATTATAAAAAAATAAATTTAAATTTATGTGAAATAAAATACTATAATAATATTAGACTTAATAAAATCATGATATTGTATTCTAGGCCTTACACAAATGTTATGGTAAAATTTATTCAACTTTTTGGGCCTGTTTGTTTGTGTTTTCATTTTCGTTTTTCACGGTTTTCAAAGCAAAAAAATGAAAACGGGTGTTAAAAACGTGTTTGGTGCAAATTTTTTTAAAAAACAAAACCAAAAACGTTTTTGTCTTTTTGTGGAAATCAGAAAACGAAAAAAAGGTGTTTTCATTTTCTCGTTTTCGTTTTCTGTTTTCTGAAAACGAATTTCACTTTTTTTTTTTTTTTT